GAACGAAAATGAAAATTTGCTTGATAATTCAACTACGCTTGTTGGAGAACAATAAAAACACTACACTCAACAAGCCACCAATAAAACTCAACTGCCTAACCTATAACCAAAGTCTCCTTTTAATTTGTTTTTAAAAAAAAGCGCTTGACAAACTTGCCCCGCATGCCGAAGTTGCCCCGGTCTCCCCTATATCTATATAGATATACAAATAAAAACCCAGCGAAGCGGGTCCTTGCAGCTAGTATATATATATATATATATAAATTGACATGTATGTCCCTATATTTCACTTTTCCGCAAAAACTACACATCGTACGTGAATGGTGTTTGTATGTGGTGGTAGCCCCAAGTCTCCATTCGTGCATAGGGGTAGTTGCGTCTCGATAGCTATAAGGGTGCGGGAGATATGGGCTTGAAAGTGGTTAAAAGTGGCTTTCTATTTCGAATGTTTTGTTCGAATTTGTTCGAATTTAATTCGAACATAAAATTCGAATATTGGTTCGATTATAGAACGATTGTAAACGTTTCAGAAACGTTGAAAATAGTTCTTTTGACTGAACGTAAAAATTCACTAATTAGTCTGGAACGGGGGACGTAATTCTTGCATTCTGTGAAAACGGGTAAGATTGGCTATAATGTAATTATCTTAATTTTCACTATCGTTACTTTTTGCCCAGCGAAGCGGGTCCTTGCAGCTAGATTCTAGATTACTTAGAAAAACAGTCTTTTATATATATAAAAAAAACTATATTACATACAAATAAAAACCCAGCGAAGCGGGTCCTTGCAGCTAGTCAGTTTTATAAACATTTACAAATTTAATAAAATGTACTATAGAATATTTTAACTGAATATTTACAATATTCGCATTTAGTAATATCATACTCAGTTTTCTAATACACTACAATTAAACTTTCAAACATCATATTGTTTTTTTACACCGGCTGACGCTAAATTGAAGGGCCTCAAACAACGAGAGTTATATTCATAAGATATACAAACAAATTTGTGATTCATTATGCAAAATGAACGTCATTAAGTTGCAAATTGCAATCTTGCAATTTGAAAAATTGTAGATCTATAAATCTGCACTGTTTTGTATGGAGTGCAAAAATATTTTTATCACAGACAATGTTTACCAGCTGCTGAAGGTTTGGAATATACATAAAGTTCTTGATCCAAATATGCTCAATATTTCTTGTGTTCTCATGGTCTCTATCAATTAGCCGTAAATATAAGGATTCGCTTTCCTCTAACAAATGCATTGATAGAATCAGTAGAAAAAATGTTTCTGATATGAGCCTCAAGAAACGTTTAGAAAAACTCTTTCAACATTCCTCAGCCAAAGCCTCTTTGTTCGTTTGGGTACAAAGCACGCAAAACAAATGAAAGTAGTAGATAGTCGGTGAGATAAAATGCATTATTAAGTCAAGTGACCGACTGATTGTTTTTTTTTTAGATTTCATTCTCAGGTGATTCAAATATATCATTCTCACAAAGCTGAAACAATTGAAGGTGCAAAACTTGCTATGACTTGCTGTTTCGACGAAGCAGATAGACTTGGCGAACGCACGAATCTATTTTGCAAAAATTGCAATTGATATACTGAACTGGAAAGCATAAAAATGCTA